CTTAACAGCAACCCAGTCTAGTGTGCTGGAGCATTGTATGAACTCAGCAACATGACCATAATGACGTCTGTTTAACTTGGTAGCGCACTGAACCTGCTCGACCTCGTGATCTGCCAAATCCTCTTAGATCTTTCCGAACCCTAACAATCCAAGGACCCAAATAATAGGGTTTTAGGGACCAAATACTACTATATTAATGGTATTTGGGCCCTAAAACCCTATTATTTGGGTCCTTGGACCCTTAGGGGAAAGACTTGAATGCCGCCCTCCGCCAGTTGAGCTCCTCATTGCCTATCCCCTCTGTAAGTGCGTGTGGCACCCTCTTGCCGCAGCAAACTTCTGCAGGTGTACAGAAATGCAGTAAGCGTGACGGACGAAACCAAAGTGGGAAAAACTGAAATAGACCCAGGGCCCCGTCGGTTACTGCTATAGTAACATGCCTACCTGGTCCCTAAACCGTAATATACCTACCTCGTGCCTGGACTTTATACTCACATCATATCTGATCTTCCATTCTAGGGTAATAGTCTTCATATGGAGCCCCAATAGTTTTTAATAGGGGGTCTGGGTTTGAGGGGCTTTCATTCGGGGCCGCATCAAACGCATGATATTCTCCTCCAATCGAGAGCTTTGTGAGCCCATTGTGGTGTCCTCCGATTCTCCAACATCTGAACTGCATACAACCTGAGAGTTGCTGGGTTGCAACTATATGGGAGTTTCCTAAAATTAGGGGTACCTTTTTGGGGGTCCCCATAATAAGGATTATTGTATATTGGGGTCTATATTGGGGTTCCCCTATTGTGGGAAACTACTATCTGGATTAAATACAATGGCCTTTGAAGCAAAATGATGGGTATGTAGGTCATCGCTATGGGTGTTTGGGAGGTTTAATTACAGGCTTGCTAGGATGCAGAAGAGTGCAAAGTGATGCATGCATGAAAAGCTTATTGCGAAACGGCGGCTCAATCAGAGAGTTAGGGTTGTAGCTCATGTAATTCCTGCTTCAGTCAAACCACGCAGTCCTAAACGCGATCCGCGCAGGAAGCGCGTAATGTAACGAAAGTGGCAAGGTTCAGCCTGCCAGAACATGTGTACAGGGCGCAAGAGAAGGCTGCGAGTACTACATAGTGGTCTGATACCCTAGGAATCCAAGCATACAAATCATACCCACATTGGGCCCTAACGTCTGGAAATATTACCTACGTTGGGCTATTTGGATCCCTAGGGTATATGAAGTTCAAAAGCTTGCCGCTCTCTTATACCCTTTCTGACAAGCGGCAGTTCAGGTTCAAAGCAACTACTTTTGTTGTATCTACGCACTTGTACAGGGCTGCTACCATGCGCTTACCTGTAGCCCCGATTACGTACGATTGGAAGTATGGCTCAATCGGTAAGTGCTGCTGAACTGAAGGTAGTTTTTGGGCTTCCAGGTAGACATTGGGTATTGATTTAAAGGCCATTTCGGGAAACTTGCGA